GGAGACGTTGAACAGTGGGCGCAGGCAGAGCACAATGCTTTTTTTATGTGCGACAAATTTGAAAAACCTCATTGGCTGGAACTGCTCCCCGCGGAAGGACCAGATTCTGATGCCTTTGACGAGGAACTCAGCCACGAATATTGCCAATATCATGCCAGTCCATGGTAGACTCTACGGAGCTACATTGCCATGAATATTGCCATGCCAACCGCTCTAACAAGGAGCTAAACCATGTGTACCCTTAGTATTATGCCAGGCCATGAGAGGCTCAAGGTAGGTGCCTTAGCATCTGTCTTAAGGAAACATCCCCGGCCGTAGGAACAGCCCATGTGCAGACTGGACACCAGTGGCTCGCGCAATGATAGCAAATAGCTTGCCGCAAAAAGAGCGTGACAGTTCATCCATGAGTAGCACTCCCATTGAAAAGGAGCCAGTCATGGAATGCCCCCTGCTGCTGACTACGCTTTCGGGGGTAACCTCTAAGGTCTCTCTCAGTGTCGCCAAGTTCGACCAATTTACAGATTTAGAAGACCAGGTTATGGATTATCTGGCCTCGGTCACTGACCTCCAAGTTTTTGGGTGCGTCATTGACTTTTTACACACCACCACGCAAACCTACCTAGAGGACCCAATCTGGGATAAGTTGCAGCAAGGTAGAGAATACACCATGGTCTTCAGGGACTGTAGTGTTACCCTGCCAGAACAAGAACAGCTCGGTGGTTATCCTATTGATCAAGTCCCCTTAGCTGTTCATGTCCCAATGAACTCAGAAGAAACTGTCCCAGAATGGGCCTTTGCAGGTGTGCCACGCTTGCGACACGTTAGCGTCAAGTCAGGGATCAGGCTCATTGGTGCAGAGGCGTGGCAAGATTGCCGGCAACTCCGCATTGTCAAACTGCCGGCCACAGTGGTAGGCATTGCAGATAATGCCTTTCGGGACTGCAAGCTCCTAAATAGTGTCTCGGCTCCGGGTTGTCGCGACTTTGGTTACAAAGCCTGTTCGGAATGTTGTTCCTTGCAGCGTGTGTATGCATCGGGAGGAGCTGTAAACGTGTTCAATGGGGAAACCAATTTCGGGCAATACCTCTTCCAAGGGTGCATCAACCTTGCAGAGGTCACCGTGAGTGAGTTTCCATCCCCCCGATCTGAATTGAACGGGTTAACCCTGCAAGACAGGACCAGAGAGCTAGCTCCGGGTTGCCTCAGCTCTACAGGCATCTACACACTTGCTCTCCCAAAGCACTTTGTAGCCATAGGAGCGCACGCTTGTGACAGTTGTCGACTGCTTAAGAGTGTTGACCTCTGTAACACCATGATTGAAGAAATTCCGGAATTCACTTTTGGCCACTGCACTAGCCTTCGGGAAGTCTTCCTACCGACAACTCTCCATACAATCCGAGTTAAAGCCTTTATGAGCTGTGCCGCCCTTGTCGAGCTTGCCATTCCGCCTGCTCTCAAGTACATTGGAAGTAGGGCTTTCTTGGACTGCACTGCCCTACGGAGGCTGGTCAAAATGCCCGGAACACGCAGATGGCGAGGGGTTTATGCTGAAGAAAATGCTTTTGCCATCTGTCCGGCCATGAAATGGCCACCCTGGCTGCATATGATCCCAGACATGGGCTACACCCCTGGTTTAGGATAGAGGATCATCCCTCCATCCACAGCTGTCGTGGCCCTGCTATCAATTTTGTTAGAGTCTGGGTGCGAGCCTTAGCTCGGGTCCGGAGTAGGCCAGCAATTGCGAAACAGTACCCCCCAACACGAGTAACTAACCATAGTTGCCCTCCGTTATGCATGGAGTAAGTGCCCAGAGGCTGTCGGATAGAGAAGGGTCTCGGCGTGGCGGTGATGTCGACAACTGCAAATCGTCCACCTGCCAGACACAGTAGTCGGACACTGGTGTAGGTGTCAAATGCTACGGGTTGTGGTCGCCCCAAGATGCAAGTTTTTCGGCACCATAGCATTCGATGACCTATAACACAAACGACCTTTGGCGAGAAAACTATCTAGACCCAGCCTCAACGAAGCTATGCTTCAGAGGCAGGAGAGAAGCAAGTGCGACGTGAGCAGTGAGCTGAGCCAAGTGCCAGTTTTCGAGCATTAGAAAAGGAGGATTTCCAGGCATATACGGCAAGCAAAATGCACAGATACCAAGTAGAACCATGACCTCTTCTCGCCATCCGCTGCGAAGTGAGCCGATAGGAGC